AATACAACTCCTTTTTTAAAGAGCCACATCCTCACTAGTCCACAAGCAACTTCCTTGAAGGCAGATTGGTAAAGCACCAGCACTGATGCTTTGGCTTCCCAGTGAACATCAGTGCAGAAATGAAATTACAGAGCCAATCCTAATTATATTACACAGACGCACTGCAGGTACATATTGAATTGTAACATGGGAGAGAGTGCCTGCCATTGCAACACTGCCTTGCAGGCAGGTGAAGGTGATGTTTGCATCACAGGAGCAAAAACACAGCATTAAAACACACCACAGTTCTCAAATACAAAAAAGACCTTTTCTATATCACTAAATAAAACCATAGAAAACCAGTGAAGAGGTGGAGGTCTCTGCAGACACCAGGACTTCCATCACGGATGCATTTAAACCAACATTAGGCTTCACTCAGTGCGGGGCTCATCTCTATGCACAGACCTGGCCCCGCGCCTCGCTCCCCTCCGGATGGCACAGACAAAGCCCAGGACAGCGCCCAGAGCGAGCAGAGCCAGGGCAGCCTGCTGAAAGCACGGGGCAGAGCTGCCAAGGCACAAGCACACAGGCTTCCTGAACTCAGGCACCAGCCAGCACGGGCAAGCACACCGAGCTGGAGAGCAGAGGCGAAACCCACCACCTCTCGCCTCCCCCAGGGCCGGCTGGGCACCAGCACTGCCAGCACCCACCGCCCAGAGCCATCCCGGGCTCTGCCACCGCATCACATCCCACCACAACGCAGCCACCGGCTCACATCCCACCACAACGCAGCCACCGGCTCACATCCCACCACAACGCAGCCACCGCAGCCGGAGACAGAAATCACAGCACCAACACCACCCACCCACCCACCCGCACCGACAGCTCGCACGCCCGGCTCATACCTGCCCACCACGGCCGCAGTCAGGAGCTCCCCTCAGCCACGTCCGCAGTCAGGAAGCTTCCCAGACCCCCCCGCAGCCCCTTTAAAGCATCTCCATGCCCCTGCCCGACTCAGCTGGGCAGCCCCAGCCCAGGTGCAGTAGGTTTGGGGAAGGGCCCCTGCCTGCAGCAGGGCTCTGTATTTGCCAAACCTTGTGGGGTTTTGAGTGAAGGGTCGATGTGTGCAGTGGGGTAGGAGATGAACTTCAAATATGAAAGGAAGGTCACCTTTGTGCTGTGGACAGCAAACCTCACTGTTCCCATGGGCCCTGGAAGCGGACAGTGCTGGCAGGCCCGAAACAGAGCTGGACAACGTGGTTCATAAACAGAGACTCCAGGGAGTGCTGGGATATATTCTCCAACATTGTTAATCCAGCAATCATGGCTGTTTGGGAGTATGAAGGAAGTGATGCAGAGAGGGGCCCAGTTTGCAGGGGTCCCCAAGTCACCTGCCCCATCACTGCTGTTTGCTGCTGCTGAGGGGGGGCACCTGGCATTTCTTCAGGTCGTGGTGAAATGGCAGAACAGAGGCAGAGTGTGCAGCCTGCACAGCAGCTCCAGCACACACCAATGGCATGTGGGCAACAGCACCCAACACACCACCAGCTTATTCATCTTCAGGTTTCTTTGTCTTACTTCTAGGAAGGCAAGTTTCTCCTCACGGACGTGCCATTCCAACTTGTGCCAAGCAGCTTCTCCATGATATCCTCACAAGACAGCAAGCTGTTCCCTCGCTCACACCCCACAGGCACCAGCACCACTTTGTCTGTGGCTCCTTCCCCAAAACTTACCAGCCTCCCGTAGCAGCCACCCATGTCCCACCTGTGTCTTGTCCACGTGACCTGTGGGTCTGGGTCAGGGACATGGGAGGTGCCACAGAAGGGCATGAGAACCTGATCAGTTGCCAAAAGGGTGATCTGGGAAAAGCCACGAAAGCAGGAGGGTTAGTCATACAAACAAAGAAGATTGTAAGCTAGACACGGGAAGCAAAATGGCAGCTAAGGGAGGAAGACTTGAGAGCGGGATCCAGGGAAACTGAGGCAGGGTGAGGTGATGCAGGCAGGCCCTGGGGACTGCTCCTGCCAAGGCCAACACAAGAGCAGTAAGATGGGCCTTCCTTACCAAGGGCTTGGTTAGCATTTCGCACAGCACATCTCCCTGCACAGGCAGTGAGTCACCTGCTGTGCTCAACACTGTGCTGTGCTGTGCTCAACAGCTCCCTGCGGTCCACCTTTTACATCTGCTCTGCTCTCCCAGCTTCACAATTAACCACGAGGGCAAGAAAGGCTCAAAGGGCCCTTGCAAGGTGCCTGGGCTGGGAGCTGTAAAGAAAGGAAAAAACCCAGAAGTCTTACTAAATAGGAAGAAGGAGCTACGCATAAAAAGGGTTTATTTGCATGAAATGCCTGGTAGTTTCCTATGTGAAGGCAAAAGAGAGACTGAGCAAGCAGCACGTATGTGTGTGTGTGTGCACTAATATACTGTGCACTACCAACAGCAGCTGAGGGACTGATATGAAGCAGGAGAAGCATCTATCTACGACAGGAAACTGTGGCTGCAAAGACAGGTTTCAGAGAGCCTGGATCTTGATAACCCTTGGAACATCAATCAAAGCAATAGCTCTGAGATGAGTATTCCTGTTTTCTTGGGCAAAGGAAAGAGCTGAAGGTGGATTTTTAGCAGTCTGGTAAAATCTGTGTCCCCTGTTCCCCTGCCCTGCTGAGCTGTGAAGGAGAGATGGCAGGGACTGCATGTCCCCCAGCCATCCTGGGAAGGTCTCTGGAGCATTGGAGTGGGGCACAGAGCAGGAGGTGCTCACGCTGAGCAGCCCAGCCAGGCTGAAACATGAATCCCCTTTGCTCATTATTTCATAGCTCAGGCAGCTGCAGGCACACCCAGAAGCAAATTTTAGGAAATTTGAGAACTCAGATGTTGGATGACTTCACATGCACAGGGTTGATGGTAGAGGAGCTGGTAGGAGCTTTAGGAATTTCTGCTTTGCTTTTGCACTACATCTGGAGCCTTCAGGTGTGATGGGAAGGCAGAGTCCTGTGTTGGGACGTGGGTGCTTGTGTGATGCACAAGGGACAGAGAGCCCCAAATACTTCAAGACCAAAGAACACTGTGACTAAGGCCGGGACCTTATTTGTGGAGCAAAGTGCTTAAGTTTAGACCTAGAAACACTTGCCAGCAAGTGACTCAGACTCACGGGGGTGCCTGTGGCACAGCATTCACCACTGGGACAAAAGAGATGTGAAATACTCAGATCAGGCTCCTGAAGCAGCAAAGACATCCTTGCACTGGAGACCAGGAGTCAGGAGCTGCCTCCAGGTAGGTGCTTGTCAGGCTGGATGGAGAAAGTGTCTTCCCTCTCTCGAGTCAGTAGGTGACCTTCAGTGGTCCCTCCAGCCAGGCAGTCCAGTCCCTACCCTGCCAGAGCTGCTGCCAACACTGGGCCAGAGCAGCGGGAGGTGACAAACTCTGTATTTACACTGAAGACAACTGGAATGAGGGGACATAAATCTGCACACCAGGAGTCAGGGCTCTGATCCCCATGAACAAAGCAGCAGGAATAGCATTGGTCGTGTGAGAAGATAACTGGTTTTACTGGTGAAAATACCCACAACTGTTCAGGGTTTCTTTTTGTAATATTAACTGAGCACTGGTTTGCAGCAAAAAAAAAGGTGCAATGGATAACGGTGTATGGGCCCCTATCACCCACAAACACAGCAGTGGTGTCTCAAATGCTGATCCTAAAGAGCTCAGTCTCCCAAGATTTCACCATCAGGGAGGCAACCATGAAAAGTACTAAATAATAAAGTACTATTGAGGGTTGCCCAGTAACTGAGAGTGCAATAGTCTAATGCTTTTTCTGTGAGCTTGTACTTGGGTAAATATTTAGGCTTTTAAAGCTTTAAATGACAGGAGACATTGCATAGGGACACTTGGTGCAAAGCCCTGGACTGTGTTTACTCACAGGTGGTCTATTACTTGGAGGGTCCTGTAAAGGCTTTTCGGTTTGTGCATCCCTGTGCAGATTGCAGACAGGGGTGGTCTTTGGGTTCAGGGATGGGCCATTCACAAAGATGGACTGCATTCACAAAGCCCAGCTTCCAAAAAGCCCTGGTCAACCACAGCTTTTGGTCAAGAGTGGTGTGGTAGCAATACCTTCAGCAGGCCTGGATTGCCCGATTTCATTGCAGCCAGATGGCTTTGGTCTTGCTTTGGATTTCTTTTGTAAGGCACAAACTAGTTTTTTACTGAAATCAGGCTGGTAGGGCTTCAAACCAGGAGAAAAAAAAAGGAAAAAATTCCCAAAGGAAATACTGCCTAGCAATGAGAAACACCCAGAGGCCGAGGTAAGAGCACTTACTGTGAATAAGTGGGTATTAGTGCCTTCTGTTGACAGAGGCAGCACTAAGTGGGCATCCTGTCTGGCTGCAGCAGCCTCTGATTGCCCAGCAAGCAGCAATCTAAAATAAATATTTCCATCTCCTAGGCAAGAAGATTGCCCCCTGGCCTCTCCCGCAGCGGCTCCGTCCCTGAGCAGGCAGGCTCTGTGCAGCGCAGCCTGCCCGGGGCTGCCACGAACTGCAGCTCCGGCACTGAGAGCCGAGCCGAGCACCCCTCAGTGGTCTCTCTCAGCGCTGCCCAGCACCGGGATAAAGTGGCCGGGTTTCGCCCCCAGGAGATTTAACAGGAGATGTGTTGTGAATAATGGTAACAAGAAATTTAGATAGGTAGGAGAAAGGACAAGGGGGTGGACACCACAACTCCCATTCGCTCACAGACACCACAGGGCTCCTCTGCATCCTTACTTGGTGGTCACTGACTTCACTTGGGCTTTGAATCAAACAGATTTGCAAGTCATTGTGCGATCCTTCGCTGAAAGCCACGGTAAAACAACGAGATTACATAACAAGGCAATCTATTTCTGAGTGGTGGAAATCTTACAGTACTCTTTATTTATCTTAATCTAAAAATACAGAAGATGGGAACAAACAAACATCTGACAAGAAATACAACCCCAGCTTAACTTTTGATTACTGGAAGAAAACTCAGTTTCATCATATGAACATTCTGCTGTCCTGAAGTATGAACAGTTTCAGTGTCTTTGTAAATACACTCAAGCAAATGTGGCAATAATTGTTCTGTTGTAAGAGCAGGGCAACAGCATTGCTGAAGCCCTTTGAGCCATGTTGATGATTGTGAGCAGATGTGCTAAAGGATACATTTTTTTCCTCTGTGAAGGATGAGAGGGATCTTCCATCTTAAAATTTTGTATTTGAAGAGAGAGAAATCATCCAGATATCAAACAGCTTTCATTTTTTTTCTACACAAAGGAGGAGGGAATTGCAAGCCAAAGAGATATTTATACATGCAATACTGCTGACTTAAATCAGCATCATTTTTTAAAGCCACATTTTTTCCCAAAGCCAGACACTGCTTCTGCAGCTTGTCCAGTCGCTTTTTCTACTCCGTCTTGTGCCATCTTGGCAGCCTTGTCAATAGCTGCAAGAGAGGGAAAAAGATAAGCAAGAAGTTGGAAAAATGCAACATTGTTTAATATTTATGATGGATTCAGAGAGGTGTGAAGGTGATTAGACTACAGAAATGTAGCAATATATCTTTAAAAAAGATTTTGGCAATTTTGCTGCCTCCCCATCTAATGTAAACAGGTGTCCAAGCCCACCATTCTCATCACATCCATGGAGCCCTAGAGGGTGTCAGCTCTAAGGAGATACTACCAACACATTTTGGTTTTCATGAAGCATTTTAGACCCTAAAATTGGTAAGTCTCCTCTCATTCTTAGAAAGTTATTAAATTGCTTAAAAAAGAAAGAAAATGAAGCTTAGTTTTTAGGCTGACTTGTTCCCAATCCGCAGCAGCGAGATGCCAACAGTTTCCTGATGGCACCTTTCCAGCTGCAGGATCAGCTTGGATCAACCCCAGCTGCTGCCTCAGCAGGTGTTGGGATCCATTATAGGGCTGGACCTGGATGAAACCCTGCCCTCAGGGCTGAGAGGTGGGTGGGAGCAAGGTGTGGCACAGGGATACGTAATCCTCAAGAAAGAAGAGCAGAGCTTTGTTCATGTTGTTCCCTCTAAAGAGGAAGCCAATGTCTGCACACTGTGCATGAGACTCAGTGGCCAGGGAGTGTCATCTACTGCCTGCCAGTAGCTGTGGACGTACTAAGCAACAGATCCTGAAATCCTTTCCCATGAGATTTCTAAAAGCCCAAAAGTTGTTGCTGAAACCAAGGCCTTTCAGGCTGAGAACACCTGTGGGGCAGAGCAGAATAAGCACTGCCCACTGCTGGCTTGTGTTGAGCTGCTCCATCACTTCTTGATTTGATCATTGCTCCTACCTTTCTGGCTTGCATCTGTAATCTGGTTGACTGAATCCTGAGTGGCCTGTCCCAGGCTGTTTGCTGTAATTAAGGTAAAAAAAAAAAAAAAAAAAAAAATCATTCCAGCTGTTCCCATTTATGGTAACAGGAATTTCAATGTCAGTTCCCTTTTCTGCACGTCCACAGCAGGCTATGCCCCTGGTAAGTGGTCAGGCTGGTACAGAGCAGGCTGAGCTGTGCCCTTTGCCTGTGGGCACCCTGGGAACTGTGTGTTGCCAGAGCAGCTCGCTATGAGATTAGTGTTCGCCTAGCACCTACGGTCAGCTGAGCAAATCAACGACAGATAAGCAGGAGATAAAGAAGCAAAGATTAGCAGTGAGTTGGAATGGTGACATTTAGCTGCAAGCTGCTTATTTTACACTGCACTTGCTTTTAATTGATTTCTAGCTTATTGTGCTTGAGGAAGGTTGGCCACGTAGCAGGCATTTTCTCTGTGGGCCATTTGGGAGTGGGGCCTCTTCAAAAATGGAAGCAAATGCCTTAAACAAGAGCAGGACGGGAGAAGGGAGATTTTATAAACAAGATATAAATAGAAGAAGGAGAAGAGGAGAAGAAGCTAGAAACATAACAGATCAGCTCCAGAATACAAAGCATTAAAAAAGTGAGATGCCATGTAATTGTAAGATAAAAAACATACTTGTACTACGTATTACAAACTGTACATTGCAATCAATGTAGTTATTACCAGAAGGCACTGTCAGTGCCTTCTGGTAATAACTACATTGATTGCAATGTGGCAGACATTAATCAAAAGTTAATTACAACTTAATAAAAGGAGAGCAATGGCCAGTCTGGGGTCTTCTCCAGGTGATGGCCAAGACTTGCTTCCCGGGAACAGAAGGAAAAAGAGGAAGCTGTGTCCTGCTAGCACCGATGCAGCTCATAATGTCACTTCAGATTGTGGGTTTTCTGAGCCAAAGAACCAACTAAGCCTCCCTCCAAATATACAACAATATTTTATCTTTCTTACCAGCATCTTTTGCTGCAGATTCAGCCTGTTCCTTCAGTCCCTGAAAGCTTCTTCCCGACATCGTGGCTTCTGACACCTGTTAGAAGTCCTCTGCTTTGATGAAAGTAAGCACCTGGTGATGTATAGCACACTGTGTGATAGTGTCCTGACTTGTCCTGGTTTTTATACCTCTGCCCCAAGACCTGCTGATCGTTTTGGGGGTGATTGGTACAATGGGTGGAGTTCAAATATGAGGAATGAGAGCTGAAAATAGAGAAGAGTTGTTTATTTACCCTCCCTGATGAGAGGGTGTGCCCAGATAGAGACTTCTGCTTCATAGCACTGTCTTTGTTTGTTAATTTGTGGTTGTTTTGGTTTTTTTTTAAATTAAAACTGTAATAAAACCTGTTCCACCATCACAGAGAGAGAAAAGCCACTGAACTGAGCTTTATGAAGAATACTGGAAAACTACTGAAGTGCCAGTGCCTGGGCATGGCCAACTTTCGTCCCCGCTGGCCTGACTTCCTTCTCTTTCCTTCCTGAGAAGAACCTCATGAGAACAGAAGCCAGCCCAAACTTGTTGTAGTTTTTAGCAGTTTTAATACTAATCCACCTTTTCTTGTCAGATGGGATACTGTTAGATGGAGAGGGTTGTCACTTATGTGTATTTTCATAGGAAAATTCTAATCTGGTAATCTTTCCAGTTGGCTGCTCAAGGTGGATTGCAAATCCTATCATCACTGAAGGCCTTGCCTGGGTGAGGCAGGTAACCAGTGCCAGCACTAGCAGTTCTCAGAGGAAGGAAAAAAAAAAAAGCCAAATTAGCAAACCCACCTTTTCCTAATGTGGCTTTGTGGTACAGACTTTGTTAGTACAGAAATTATGCTTAAAATCACTTCCTTTCCTAGCATCACCACATTCATAAAAGTTTCTGGCTTTAAACTCTAGTATTTCCCAGATTCCCACTAGCCTTTGAAATTTGTATTTCCTGCCACCAATCCCCAGTACAAAGGTGCTTTGTACAAGTAAACTATTGGCAGAGCTGGGAGCCAAATGGCATTCTGGTTTTGAGGGGTTTGGGTTCCTTGCTGCCATTTTCCGGCGTACAAAGTGTCCCTGTTCAGATGGCCACACTCATACCCATATTTGTCTTCCTGAGTAAAGATTTGTGTTGGGAAATAGGCACGAGAACAAGATGCCATGGACAAACCAGTGTGGGCACTGACAGTTCTCGTAAGTTTAGTACTTCATTAGTACCCAAGTGAGGAAGAGTTGCATAAAACAAGGTTCCATGCATTCCTCTGCCGCTCCTGTTCCGCCTGTCATTTCAGACAGCTCCTCTCAACTTTTGCACCACTCCTTTGTTATTTCAAACAGCAATCCTCTTTCCCCCTCGATGGGTCAATTAGGATCTTAATTATATATGCACATCAGGTATCTCTTTCAATTCCTCGATGATTTCTTTTTTGGAATGATTTTCTTACTTGGATTTGCAAAAACTCACTCAGTATTGTGGGGCTCTGGCATTTTTTTAACAAAACCACTAATGTGGACCCACTTATCTTTCTTGCCCAAAGCTGAGAATGTAGCCACAGCAAAGCCATACCAAATGGGTGGATTTCAGCTGTTCTCAGCCCCTTCTGTCAGGTCGCTGCTGCCTCGAGTTACTCTGTGTGGAGTGTTAGTGAAGGAAGGAAGAGGTTCTCCAGTATCCATCAGGCAGCTTGTGGCAGCTTGAGAGAGGATGTTCCCAGGCTCCAGCAGCAAATACCTTCCAGCTGCCCTCCCAGCTCTTTTCTAAACTGCTGGATTTTCGGTGCAATGGCCTCACAGATGCTGGCTGGGGTGATCTGCCTGAAAGGGACAACGAGAGTGTGGGAGAACATTTACAACTGATGCATGTTTACATCAAGTGTTAAACGTACACCACATTACAGCAATACTTCAAAGACTCTAACCAGTTCAGGTAAATATTGCTGTCCAATTTTCCTCTGATACCTTCCTAGATTTCCCCAGCTCCAACTATTATTCTTCCAAACACAAATCTCAGCATTTCAGACTCAATATGGAGGTTTGATTGGTGTTGCTGCCCACTTTATGTCCTGCTCAAAACATTAGGAAGCACAAATTTATGAGTAAAACATACACTGCTGAGAGCATAGCAGCATGAACTCCTTATCAAGGTAATCTTAGCATTAATATTGTCCTGATTCCAAACGGAAAAAAAAAGGGAAAAGAAAGCAAATTACCCTTGTGTGGCAATCTGACATGGCATGATCATTATAATGCAGCCCAGAGCAGAGGGGACCTTTGGTATAGTAAGTACTTATTTCCATACGATGGGACAAATAATCTGTGCATCAGGTGGCTTGCAGAGTTACAAAACTGCAACAGAAAATTAATGGAATATATTACATCATATTTATTCACTCCGTGAGTTAGCATTACTTGCCTAAAAATAATGATAAACCCTTTGAACTGATGTTAGATATAGATTAGAGTGCTCAGATACAAACAGGTTCATCGGGCACTGGAAATAGTGGGTAATTTTAAACGTGCAGTCCAAGTATCTGTGAGTTGAATCTAAGGCACCACAGGGAAATTAGCAGTTGTTCTGGTTTCCTTTCACACATCTTCTATGGCATCTTTGAGCACCGCCCTCTCACACATCAGTGACATGAACCCTTCTCTTTTACTACCTGATGAAGGTGAGAAGTAACTGATCAGAGCTAGAGCTTATGTTTTACACATGAAAATGGGCAAATGAGGTTAATTAATGAGAAGTGTTGACATTCATTTGGGTTTTCTTAAATTTTAATTTTACCAGGGTTGGGATTTACAGACAGGTATGGTTTCCATCAGCAAAGGCAAATACAACGACATGTCAGGGCTGAAAGTTTTACACAGATCACTCCAGAAGTTAACGAAGTGTGCAGTGTTCAGCACCTGCAGCTGTGAAAAGAGACTCACATTAGTGTGCAAGGGATGTGGTGTTTATGTCAGTGAAATGGAATTGTTTTGAGAAATAGAATGGTTTGCTCACAGAAAGATATAATTATTGTAAGTTATATGTTAGTCATTTAAAGGATCAAACTAAAGCTAAGTTAGCCCTTCAGTGCAAATTCTGATATACAGTTCTGGGAGAAAAGTGGTCCAATTTATTCTTCCTTTAAACATCCTCCAGGAACCATCAGTCAGCTCTGCTTCAAAGCACAAGATCAATATAAGGGCAGCTGGAGTTCTTGCACATGGAGTTCTTTACCTTCTGCTTTCTCAATCTTGAGGCAACATCCCAGTGAAGTGTCATGTTTCTACTTTCTTCTGGAGCACCTGAAACCATGTTAAATATGGGGATTGTTGTGGAGTCTGATGATACCCTGCAGCTTCAGGACTAGGAAAGACAAAAAAAGTAACTGTCTGGTCTCTAACTTCGAAGCAGAAAAGTGAGAAAGGCTGGACTACCACCGTAAGATCTGTCATGGGACTGGGGAATTAAATAACTGGTCCTATCCCAGCAGTGGCTGGCTAGGAAAGCTGAGGATGTGAGCTGGGATGTAAAGTCTACAGAAGAACTGTGTATCTTTCTCTAGGCACACTGAGGGGAAGGAGCCCTGTGGTTCTGCCCTTCTGGCAAACAGCTGTGCTGCCCACCCCACCTGGGCCCAGGGGCAGAGGAAAGTGGAGAAGCAGAGCTGGGAAGCTTGCCTGGCTCCCATACTGGAATCCACGTGAAAAAAGCAGTGCCAAAGACTGACAGAGAAACATTGCACTGCTGCAAACTCATCTGGTTTGTCTGATATTCAGAAAGCTCAGTTTTAATCTGAGCTTTTTCTGATATGCTATTAACAGCATGGAGTATCTTCTTGTGATTGGGTAGGGTTTCGATGCATTTATGAAACAGTGGAGCTGTGTTTCAATATAGAAAAAAAAGTGTCAAAGAGGTGAGAGTCTGTGATTTTATAGAGAACAGTATTAAAAAAAAATCCCTTCAGTTTTAAGTCAGGTGCTCTTTGAGTTCAATTTTAGGACATGCATTAGGCAGACTGAAACAGGACTTTCAGATGAAGTGGGGTTTTAAGTGTGTTATTACCTGATTTGCATTTAAACTAGTGGAATGCTGTTTGGGATATTCTGTAGAGAGCCACTGCTTCCTCTTCTGCATCCCGGACAGACACCTTCGAAAACTCAGGCCCTGAGCGCCCTTCAGCCCTTGGCTAAAACATAACCGGGGTGGGGGGAGCTCTCACAGGCTATGAACTCTATCAGAACAAATCACTTAATAAAGCTTAACTGCACTTTTACATGGTAAGTAAATTTTGCTGTTACAAGGGGAAAAATAAAAGTGTTTTTCAGCACTTTGTTGGTCACTTGTACGGTGCAGTTGATGCAACACTTGGCAGCAACCGTTCCTGGCTCGCTGGATCACCACAGAGGTCGGAGTGTGAGCACCCAGAGTCACGTCACTGGGGACAGACTGTGGCCCCACCGTGCCTGGCACCAAGAGCTGTCTCGGCACAGTGGGATTAAATCAACAGCTTGTGTGAGAGTGCTATCACATGTACAAAGTCCACTTAAATAATTCACAGGGTGAGATGAGTAAAAGAAACTCTTGATTGCCTAGATCATGATCTGTCAGCGAAAAATTATTTAGCTAGTATCTGCCTTCCTCAGCTTTTATCTGGGACAAGGGGATTCCCAGCACTTCCTCAGTGAAAGCACCTTCTCCTGGGGATGTTTTCTGGTGCATCTCCTCCATCCTTCCACCTTTCGCTTTCTTTCCATCACCTCTCATTACACTTGCTGGAATACTCATTAAAAGCACAGACTTCTTTTCCCTGCAGCCAACCAACCAGACATACAGTGAACTTTAGTTGAATAATTAATAGGTAATCTTTTGTCTCTTTTATCACAGACCCTTCTGCCTCAGAATAAACAAGTGAGTGTTCACCTTTCTTTTACCTCTGACAAAGGTGGCTCAGACTGCTACATCTGCTCCCCCTGGCTGGGTGACAGCCGGTCTGGGGAAGGGAAGGAAATAGAGGCTCACTGAGCCATTGCATGGGCACAGCACTACTCTGTTCCCACTCACTGTTGCAGGGTATTCGTGGGAGGAAACTGCATGTCCTGCTGTCTTCAAGACTTGTGATTGCCTGTGCAAGGTGCACAAACACTCCTCTGGGCTCTGACTGCAACAGGACTGGACTA